CACTTAGTGTGAGAGAGGTCACACAAGCACAGGACTTCCAAATCTTCCTGTTTGCTGGTGACCACCTGTGACCTGGAGGAGCCACAAGGGAGAAGCAGCCTCTCTCCTTGGGTGACTGTGTATAAGAGAATAGCAGTGGAACGCTACCAGCCTGCAGCAGACATTTTGTGTATAAGGAAAGAAACTTTTGCTCTGATACACTATTGGGATGGGGGGGGGTATTTATTTGTTACTGTAGCAAAGACTAGTGTTATGTTGACTCTCCTTAGTAGTCTGATCTCCATCCACTTTTTTGATACTGTGACAAAATACTTGAGGCTGAGTAATTTTTTTTTTTGTTGGTCATGGGGCTTGAACTCTAGGCCTGGGCACTGTCCCTGAGCTCTTCAGCTCAAGGCGAGTGCTCTACCACTTGAGCCACAATGCCACTTCTGGTTTTCTGGTGGTTTATTGGATATAAGAATCTCATGGACTTCCCTGCCTGTGCTGGCTTTGAACCATGATCCTCAGATCTCAGCCTCTATGTCATTTTGGCCCAAGGACAAGTAACGCACACTTCCTTCCCTCCATATACTTGGGGTATACTGGGAGAGCTAGGATAGACAGAAAAGTAAGTGAAGTTGAAGATAGAGAGAGGGACATAGGATGTTTCCTGGTCTTGGGGTGGGCCTTAGTTGGGATCTGAAATGGCCCCCAAAGGTCCATGTGTTAAGGGCTTCCTCCCTAGGCTGTGCTATTCCCTAGGCTGTGGTGCTAGTGGGAAGTGGTAGAGCCTTTAAGAGGTGGGGCCTAGTGTGAGGTTTAGGTTTTTGACTGTCCTCCAAGGGGATTGTGGGATCCTGGGCTGTTCCTCTTTCTCTGCCTGGCAGCCAGAGCCTGCAGTGAGCAGCTTTGCTCTACCGGGTGCTTCCTATCCTTGTGAATGAAAGTGTAGAGTAACCAAAGCTCTCAGGATTTGTCCCACAGGCAAGGGGCTGACCACAATCACAAAGAGCTTCCTCACCAAAAGCAATGGGATTGGCCAGCCATGGACTGGAGCCCTCCAAGCTGTGAGTGGAGACAGCACGTTTTCCTTTTCCTTTCCCATCCCTTCATTCAGGTTATTTGTTGTAAATGTAAACTAACAGGTCACCCACCTTCATCTAGTTAGGAAGCAGCCCGTGGCCATACATCTTCAGGGTTGAATTTGTGTTCCGGCTGTAGTATTATTTGAATTTGGAGGTCAAAGAGATTGTGATGAGATTATTTTTCTCTGAAGATGAATGTTCTTTTTCTGTGCAGGTGAGGTACCATTATACCTTTATCCCAGATTGGTGACAGGCCTAGCCTTTGCTTTTTCAGCTGGCCAAGGACAGTCACAGACTTGGGATCTAGGTTGTTGTCTCCCTACAGATGGCAGATTTAATCTCATCATTGTAATTGGTCCTGATAGCTTGCATCAGCTTAGCCAAAGCTCAGCTGGCTCCCAAGCCAGCCTTGTCAGCTGAGTTAAAGTGTGTGAAGGAGATGGTAGCAGGGGGCTTTCTTCTGATGAGGTACCCTGTCTGGATGCTCTCTTGGTAGTGAATTAGGGAACATGATGCCCAGGGCAAGTGGGAAGGCCGTCCTCCTGTTCTGTAGCCTCTACAGCTGAGACATCACTCGCAGGTGACCCTTCTTGTTCTCTGCCAAGATGGTGATGGTATTAACACTTGCTCCAAGGACAGGTGTTCTCAGAAGGACATCATCCCCTTTCTGGTCACCTTTCTTCTTTTCTTCCTCTGTGTCTGGCTCAATGTAGGGGCCGGCTTAAGCAGTGAAATAATTCTTTGACAGCCCAAGGCCTGGACAAGCTGTGACTCTCCAGGGACACTTCCAGTGACTTATGGGAAGATTCTTTGTCACAGCTGGTGGTTACTGAATCTCCATTTTGCTGGCTTATCTGGAAATGATAATGATTTGATTTTGATCTGAATATTTAAGAACTGTTTGATGCCATTTTCAATTTTGCTCAAAATAATACATGTCACTGCTTAAAATCAACAGGCCTCTGCTAGGCTTCCTGCTGTCTATGTTTAGAGATTTCTGAACACAGGGCTTTGGCCTTGATAGGCAGGTGCTCTGCCACTTAGCCGTGTCTAGCTCCGTATTGCCTCTTGTGTCCCTGAGGGCTTACATTATAGAGAGATTCCTGGTTAGGAGGCCATATATGCTTAAATACCTGGAGAGGATTTTTTTTTTCCTGGAGGGACACCTTTTTTTCTTTTTTGGGTTGTGGGGCTTGAACTCAGGGCCTGAGTGCTGTCCCTGAGCTTTTTCACTCAAGGCTAGTTCTCTACCACTTTGAGCCACAGTTCCACTTCTGGTTTTTCTGGTGGTTAATTGGAGATAAGAGTCTCACACACTTTCCTGCCCAGGCTGGCTTCAAATTGGGACCTTCAGATCTTAGCCTCCTGGGTAACTAGGATTATATACATGAGTCACCAGCACCCAGATTGGAGGGGGGCTTTCTTAAACTCTTTTCTTCCCCTCTCTGAGTACGAGGAGGGTGAATTCTAAAGGGGATTCTTGGATAGTTTTGAGTTGACCCTGAAGGGTTAAGTACTGATTATAGTAGGTTCTTGCAAGCAAGACTCTGACCACAGCCACAAAACCATCTAAACTGCACAGATAAACTCAAGTTTGCAGTTTGATATGCATCTTTTGCTGTGGTTTGAATGTGTATATTCCTTACCTCCCTGCCACTTAAATTTTTTAAAATTATATTTTCTATAATCTTTAAGTCATTGTAGAAAGGAGTTTTCATTCAACAAAGCAGTCTATAAGAACAGTGCATCTTGATTGATGCCACCCATTTCGTCATTCTCCCCTATTCCTTCCAACTCATTCTTTCCCTTCAATGTTCTTAGTTTCATAGGATACCATTGAATATTATGACTGCATTCTCTACCCTTTCTCAATTCATTTATCTACTGTCCCTCTCCTTGATCCCCACACCTTTAAAGTATGTTTCCTCATATTCATTTTTTTGGAATGTGAGTTCATTTTTCTAAGGAGTTATACCATTTGAATTCTTCTCTGCATATGCCATACTTAGGTTAATGTGGACTTGTAAACAACCTCATATATGTTTACTTGTGCATTTATAAATTAGTTCTAGCCTCCACATATGAGAGAGAATATATGTCTTTTGTCTCTCTGTGCTTGACTTGCTTAACATAATTTTTCTAGATCCATCCATTTTTTTGTTAAAAATGTAATATCATTTTTTCTAATGATGAGTAAAATTCCATTGTTTATATATATATATATTTTCTTGACTCAGTCATCCATTGAGGGGTATCTAGGCTTATTGTATATCTGGGCTATGGTGAATAGTGCAGCAATATACATGATTGTGTTGGTAGCTTTACTGTATCTTGAGTTGCAATCTTTTGGATAAATGGCCAAGAGGGAAATTGCTGGATCATAAGGAAGTTCTATGTTCAGTTTTTTTTTTTTAATTTTATTTTTTTTGGATCCAGTCATGAGGCCTGAACTCTGGGCCTGGGCTCTGTCCCTCTGCTCTTCAGCTCAAGGCTAGTGCTCTACCACTTGAGCCACAGCGCCACTTCCGGCTTTTTTCTTCTTGCTTATGTGGTGCTGAGGAATCGAATCCAGGGCCTCATGCATGTAAGACAAGCGCTCTACCGCTGAGCCACCTTCCCAGCCCTATGTTCAGTTTTTTTGAGGAATCTTCACACTGCTTTTCAGAGAGCACGAACAAGTTTACATCCTACCAACAATGTATTAGGGTTCATTTCCTCCTGCATGTGTGCCAGCCTCTATTGTTTGTATGCTTGATGATGGCCATTCTAACTGGGCTGAGATGGAATTTCAGTGTTGTTTCGATTTGCAGTTTCTTTATGGACAGAAATATTGAGCATTTCTTCAGGTGTCTACTGACCATTTTTACTTCTTCTTCTGAGAAGAGGGACAAAAAGAGGCAAATTTGTTAATTCTTTAGGGTTTGGTTTCATAATGTTGAAATCCTAACCTGAAAGGTGATTTTGGAGGCAAGGCCTCTGAGAGATGATCATGTTATGGAAGTGGATCTCCCAGGAATGACCTTATAAAGCAGATCTCAGGTTCCAAAGGTACACATCAAACTCCAAATTGCAACATAGGTTTTAGGTGATACTTCAGCACAAGTGAGCTGAACCTAGCAGAGCACATTTTCACTCTCACTTTTGGAACTTGGAAAAGTCCACATTGAGCATGGAACTGAGATATCTTCCTATGTGTGAGGCAGGCCACTCCTCAGAACTGCTTGATGGCCTGAAGAGGCTGAAAGGCTCAGTCTACTAGACCTACAAGGAGGGAAGTCAGCCCATCACCCTCTTGATAAACGACTGTAACATTCCTGCCTCACGGGGGCAGGGAGCTAGCAGTGAGACAGTATTCGAGCATACTTTCCAGTTATGAAGCACAGTGCAAGCGTGCATTGTGATTTAGATGACGGTCTTCAGCAACCATCTGTCACGACATTCTGCTTCCTTGGAAAGATGTCCCTGGCTTCGTTGTATGTTGTAACATCTTGATTTTCTTAGTTGAGTGAAGTAGTGGGTAGACGTGAAATTCTGGAATCAGATTGCCTTCATTGGAATGTGGTAACTGCGTGTGCCCAGGCAAGTTACTATGATTGTCTTTTGAGGCCCCTCAGTATCTGGGGGGAGGGGTGGTTTGTAGGCTCTGGGATCTCTGTAGGTGCCAAAATCTGCAGATGCTCAAGGCCCTGAGTTAAAACGGTGTGGGATTTGCACAGAACCTATCCATATTCTCCTGTATACTTTAAATCATCACCTGATTACTTACAATGCTCAGTGCAATGGAAATCATTATTATCCTATGTTGTACAAGGAACAAAGACAAGAAAAAAGTTCTTTTCATGCCCATTACAAGTACAGTTTTCTTTCCTTTTTTGTATTTGTGCTACTGGTGATTGATTTCAGGACCTCATACTTTCTGGGCAAGCACTCTACCACATGAGCCATATGCCTGATCTTTTATGTTTACTTAATTTATTCTTCAGATAGGATTGTGTACCAACTTCAGACTATGGTCCTCCTGCCTCTGTTTCCTGCTAGCTGGGGTTACTCATGTGTACCACCATGACTCACTTGTTTGAGACAGGGTCTTGTTAACATTTTTATTTTTTGGCCTGGGGTAGCCTTGAACTGTAGTTTTTCTCCCCTTTGCTGAGGATTGCATCAGTTTTGTTTTCAATCCTTAGTTGAATCTGAAGATGCAGAAACAGAGATGGCAGGGTTACTGTACTTTGAGCATTTTATCTGTAAAGTGGAACTAAGGTCTGAGTCCTTGTGGCTGCTTGAAACCCTAATTTTCATTTATTTTTCTAGTATTATAAGATCACTTATTTGCAGGGAGAAGTGTGTGTGTGTGTGTGTGTGTGTGTGTGTGTGTGTGTGTGTGTTGGTTCTGGGGCTTGAACTAGGGGGACTTGTATTCTCACATGGCTCTTTTGCTTAAGGCTGGCACTTACTACTTGACTCATACCTCCACTTCCAAAGTTTTGCTGATTAATTGGAGATAAGAATGTCACATATTTCCCTGCCCAGACTGGCTTTGAACCGCAATCCTCAGATCTTAGTCTCCTGAGTAGATAGGAATAGAGGAATGAGCCAACAGCGCCCAGCATTAATGAACTTCTGTGGTGTCGTGACCTTAAATGGAGATTTCCAGAATCATAAACACATTCCATTCTTCATTGGCTCAGGATTGGCCTTTTACCTCATTCAAGAGTCAGTCTTCAGGGTACTCTTTGCATATGTGGGAATTCTCTGATTTGGCATGGCTTAGTTTTCTAACCACTTCCCACCTGCATACCCAGGGAAATACTTGCCATTCCCCAGATGTTCCGTTCACTCCCTGCCTTGTTTTGTACATAATGTTCCTTGGAGTCCCTTTTGTATGGCTCACTGCCACATGTCCTTCAGGCCCTGGGTTCCAGTGTGTCAGCTCTGCTACCCGGTCTTGCTGGAGAGCAGAGCTCTTTCTCCTTGTTTGTGCTCTTAGGGAGCATCCAGTGGCATACTTAATTGTTGGTTCTTTTCTAACGATGAGTTCCTCCCCACTATGAGCTCTTTGAGAATAGAAATGTAAACTCTTCACATCAGTATTTCTAGGACTTACAAGAACCTGTGATATAAAGCAATCCATAAATATTTGCAGAATAAGTAAGGAATGAATGAATTCTTTCTGACATGGAAGGAGAAAATATTTTGCAGGTATTATTTGATAGTGATGGGCTGTCCTGATGTTAAACTCTGTTAATTAGAAATGAAACCATGGGGCTCGGAAGATGGCTCAGTGGTAGAGTTCTTGCCTTGCATGCATGAGGCCCTGGGTTCAATTCCTCAGCACCACATAAGCAAAAAGAAAAAAAGTCAGAAGTGGTGCTGTGGCTCAAGTGGTCGAGCACTAGCCTTGAGCTGAAGAGCTGAGAGACAGTGCCCAGACCCAGAGTTCAGGCCCATGACTGGACCCCCCCCCCCAAAAAAAAAGAAAAAAAGAAATGAAGCCATGGGCTTGAATAAATTACTTTTGAGATTCAGTTGCTTTAAAATCTATTTCAAGGGCTGGGAATGTGGCTCAGTGGTAGAGCACTTGCCTTGCATGCATGAGGCCCTGGGTTTGATTCCTCAGCACCACATAAGCAAAGAGAAAAAAGCCGGAAGTGGCACTATGGCTCAAGTGGTAGAGCGCTAGCCTTGAGCTGAAAAGCTGAGGGATAGCGCCTAGGCCCAGAGTTCAGGCCCCACAACCAGACCCAAAAACAAACAAACAAACAAACAAACAAATAAAATATATTTCAAGAGCTGGGAATGTGACTTAGTCGTAGAGTGCTTGCCTAGCATGCATGAAGCCCTAGGTACCATATAAACAGAAAGAGCTGGAAGTGGCACTGTGGCTCAAGTGGTAGAGTGCTAGCTTTGAGCAAGAGAAGCTCAGGGACAGTGCCCAGGCCATGAGTTCAAGCCCTAGGACTGGCAAAAACCCAAAACCAAAACCTTATTTCAAAGCTGAGATTCTTAGCTCCAATTAAGCAGCAAAAATCTGAAAGTAGAGGTGTGGGAGGTGGTAGAGCTCCAGCCTTTAGTGAAAAAGGTAATTCCCTCTATGAGTAAGGACTTATTTTCTCTGTCCATGAAAGAATTAAAAGGCAGGAAAGTGTTTAAGATAAATAAAATAACTTCATTTGAAAGTTAACGGTGAAAGGAGAGACCCTCTCATCTGAGAGTGGCCCCCAAAAGAGGAGTTCAATGGAATCCTTTTCAGGGGTGGTACTATAGTAAGGGCTCCTCCCACATCTCCTCCTTTGGGCTTTGCTGATTGCTTGATGGCTCATGCTTGAGCCAACATGGCTCTTTTTATTGATTGATTGCACACTAGGACATTATGGGAAGAAACATTTGAGCAGGAGCCCCGGACACTGTGGGAGCAAAAGTCTCCATGATTGGCCACATGTTATCTGCCACGTGTTACGCCTTCCTTTGTTTATCTCTATCTACTTAACAGTTCTCCTTTCTTTCCCTTGAAGTGAGACCATGAGGCCCTGAGTTCAAGCCCCAGATTTGGGTCACAAATAAGTAAACAAACAGCAATAACAACAAAAGAGATTTTAGTAAGTCCTCTGTACTTGAATTTCTAGATCTTTTGGAATTTAAAAGCTCCTTATCAAGCTGAGCACTGGTGGCTCACGCCTGTAATCCTAGCAACTCAGGAGGCTGAGATCTGAGGATCGGGGTTCAAAGCCAGGTTCAAAGCCAGCCTGGGAAGGAAAGTTCATGAGACTCTTATCTCCAATAAACCACTAGAAAACGGGAAGTGGTGCTGTGGCTCAAGTGGTAGAGCGCTCTCCCTGAGCTGAAGAACTCAGGGACAGCACCCAAGCCCAGCGTTCAAGCCCCAGTACCGACAAAAAAATAAAAAAAATCTTATCACCCTTTGTTTATGAAGCAGTTTAGAAACAAAGATAATGCCAATCTGGTTGAGTTATGATAGGAACCTACTAATTACTTGCTTCCATGTCTGAACTTCAGAAAAATCAAGTGTTTTATTAACATTTGAAAAAGACATTTCAGATACCTAGGCCCTGGAGGCTCACGCCTGTAATCCTTTTTTTTTTTTTGGGTCCGGTTGTGGGGCCTGAACTCTGGGTCTGGGCGCTGTCCCTCAGCTCTTCAGCTCAAGGCTAACGCTCTACCACTTGAGCCATAGCGCCACTTCCGGCTTTTTTCTTTTTGCTTATGTGGTGCTGAGGAATCAAACCCAGGGCCTCAGCATGCAAGGCAAGCCCTCTACCACTGAGCCGCCTTCCCAGCCCGCCTGTAATCCTATCTACTCAGGAGGCTGAAATATGAGGATCATGGTTCAAAGCCAGCCTGGGCAGGAAAATCCGTGAAACTCCTATCTCCAATAAAACTGGAAGTGGTGCTGTGGCTCAAGCTCACCTTGAGCTGAAGAGCTCAAGGACAGTGCCCAGGCCCAGAGTTCAAGCTCCATGACTGACAAAAAGAAAAAAAAAAGACATTTTAGAAACTGATGAATCAAAGTTGCCAGCACCCTCATTAAAAAGACTAAAATTTCCACATCTAAGGGAAAACTTATATCCTTTGTCTCCATGGGCCTGAGTTACTTCACTTCACAACATAATTATTCTCAGGTCTTTCAATTTCTTTACAAGTGATACAATAGCATTCTTTCTAATAGATGGGTAAAATTCGTGTGTGTGTGTGTGTGTGTGTGTGTGTGTGTGTGTGTATCACATTTTCTTGATCCATTTGCCCATTGAGGGGCATCTGGGCTGATTCCATACCTTAGCTATGGTGAATAGAGCTGTAATGAAAATGGTCATGCTAGAGGCTTTCCTGTATCCTGTTTTATTTTTTGAGGAACATCCACACTGCTTTGTAGAAGCTAGATTTAGCTTATAAACTTATAATACGTTGGGTGATGTGCAAGTATATGCAAAAATATTAACCTAAATAAAATAGGTTCCAGAGAGAACTCACACAGTGTAATTCCTTAGAAAAGCAAAGAGAAAGTTCAGCAAAATACCAGGAAGAGATACTAGAAAATGTGGGTGGGTCAAGGAACAAAGGAAAGGGAGAAGAGGAGGAGAATACAGTCAGGCATCCAAAATACTGGGCTGGGAATGTGGCTTAGTGGTCGAGTGCTTCTCTAGCATGCATGAAGTCATCGGTTCAATTCCTCAGTAACCACATAAACAGAAAAAGCTAGAAGTGGCACTGTGGCTCAAGTGGTAGAGTGCTAGCTTTGAGCAAAAGAAGCTCAGAGACAGTATCCAGGCCCTGAGTTCAAGCCCCATGACTGGCCAAAAAAAAAAAAAAAAAAAGAATCCAAAATATATCCTACAAAATTAGGAAGGGAAACGGTAGATAAGGGAGGGATGGGTGAAAATGTTGAAAGTGGTGACATTGATCAAGATATATAGTATTCATAAGCTGCTTTGTTAAATGGCAACTGCTTTGTATAACTACTTAAAGATAATTTAAAGAAGAAAAAAAAGAAGAGTAAAGTTGCCTGTTTCCAGTGGCTCAAGCCTGTAATCCTCCCTACTCTGGAGGCTGAGATCTAAGGATTAAGTTCAAAGCCAGGCCAGACAGAAAAACCCTTGAGTCTCATATCCAAACTACCAAAAAAGAAAAAAAAAGAAAAGAAAAAGCTAGATGTAGAGCTGTGGCTCAAGTGGTAGAATGCTATCCTTGAACACAATAACTCAGGGATAATACCTAGACCCAGAGTTTGAGCCCCAAGACTGACATACCACACTTACACCCCGCTCCCACAAAGTTCACACTGACATTTGTCTATATGTTCTCTCATCATTAATGAGAGACAGATATTGAAGCTAGGTTGTCTTTGTTTGTTTTTCAGCTTTTTTTTTTGTCGGTTGTGGGGCTTGAACTCTGGGTCTGAACGCTGTCCCTCAGCTCTTCAGCTCAAGGCTAGAGCTCTACCACTTAAGCCACAGCACCACTTCCGCTTTTTTCTGCTTATGTGGTGCTGAGGAATTGAACCCAGGGCCTCATGCATGCAAGGCAAGCGCTCTACCACTGAGCCACCTTCTCTATCTCCCTGAATCATTTGCCTTTTTTTTTTTTGTCAGTTGTGAGGCTTGAACTCGGCCTGGGTGCTGTCCCTCAGCTGTTCAGCTCAAGGCAAGCACTCTACCACTTGAGCCACAGCGCCACTTCCTGAGGTGTTTTTTTTTTTTTTTTGCCTTCACTTCTAGACCAGAACCAGGTATCATCAGTAAAACTGTCTAATTGAATTTGCAAAGTGACTTTATATGAGGAGGAATTTTTGAGTTAACTCTCTCCCCAAAGAGCATTCTTCATTCAGAAAAAAACAAGAAGTTCGGGTATCTGTTCTTCCTTTATTATTGTGGTAGAGAGAGAAGCAAAGGAATTGGTCTGTATTCTTTTCATTGCTGTTGTTTTGATACTGGGGCTTGAACTCAGGGCCTGGGTGCTGTCTGAGTTTTATGGACCAAGTAAGAATGTCCAGTTTGAGCAGTGAGTGGCTGAGGACCATGCATCTATTCACTGACCTGTGACCTCTCATGCTACCCCTGGGTTCTGTGATTCAGTGTGGGGCCTCCCTGGCCTGGGAGGTAGAGAAGGGAGGGAACTGTAGCCCCCTCTACCCTGAGCCATCTAGTCCCCATGCAGGAGAGGGGTGGATACAGCCCTGCTTTCCTCTGGAGGAAGCCGCACCCCGTGTTGTGAAGTGAGTCGCAGTGTGCACGTGTCTCTGTCTGCAGCTGTGCATGCAGGTGTGTGTGTGTGTCTGTGGGCTGGGCAGAAGTGCGGGCATGCGAGGGGAAGGCTTGGAGAGTCACAGGACAAAACACCTTGGTCCCCTGTGACCTGTTGGAGTGCTTGGAGTTTTGAGGACATTTTTGAGGACGCTTTGAAAGCTAGCTCAGGCCAGCCAGGGAGTGGAGGTAGGTCAGGCTGCTTTGTACTCACAGAGGAGCTGAAACAGTTCTTGGCTGGCGTAGCAGTGACGCAGATAGCCTTGGAGAGCAGATGCAGCTATTTTTTTCTTTCTTTCTCTAGTTGTTCTTAGACTTGGGAGGTGGGTTTTCTAAAAGAAATAGTGTGTCGGCCAGTTGCTCTCAGAGAGAGAGAGAGAGAGCGAGAGCGAGAGCCACCAAGGTGTTGTTTAGTGGTAACATATGTGTTGGCAGCTCTCCCTGTGAGAGCAGGCATAAAATTCAACTTGGTAAAACTCTTCTCCCATTCTGTGGGCTGTGTAGCTTGTGAGTCAGGGCCTTTGCCATGCAGAGACCAGGAGTGGGTTATTGCCGGTGGGGCCCCGAGAGGAGACAGGTAGAAGGCTGAGGAGGGGAGGAGAGGAGAAGGCAGGCAGGAATTCGCTGTACGTATCACAGAATTAAGAAAAATAAGGGAGGGGATGGGTCAAAGGGGGTTGAAGAGGTTGACACGGATCAAACTGCATTGTTCAATGGCAAAAATTCAATGCATAACCTAAAATTCAGTAAAGTGAGGGAAGGCGGGGTTGGGAAGGGTGGTCAAGATGCACTGTATTCATAAACTGCTTAAAAATATTAAAAAAATTGAATTTGGACCTGCTGGGAAAAAGTTCTGTTAGACCAGTTTGCCCTATGCTGTGTTCTATCTTATCTGACACATCACATAAGCTGTTTATGGGGCTGATGTGACCAGAGGGCCCATTGTCCCCTCTCCCCACCCATCCCTACCTCCTCCTCACCACCACTGCCAGGGCTGAGCCCCCACCTTCCAGTTTGTAGGGGGAGTTAGCCTCAGGGAGTCACGGAGAATGGGAGGGAGGAAAGATGGAGGCCATCCTGGTCTATTTTCTGTCACTGTAACAAAATACCAAAGACTGGATAATCTATAATGAAAAACTAACTCCCTGCAGTCTGTGAGACTGGGAAGATCAAGATGGAGAGGCTCACATCTGGCCTACGCCTTTGTGTTTCTTCATCGTATGGTGCCAGCTGAAGGCCCAGGAGCTTCCCTTAAGTGCTTTGAGCTTCCTCTTCAGAGCTTCCTGTTTCCTGCTGGCCCTAGACCACAGTCTCCAGTGACTTCCCTCTGGGTGTTACCTGGGGGTGTTTCAGTTTGTACCTCTAGCCTCCCATCGTGAGAACCCCATTTCCCAGCTCCACTTCCCTGCCCTGTCTGGGTGCCATCCTCTTTCAGTTCCCCCTGGGTCTTCACAACTGACCCTGGATTTCTTGGTCCCCTTTCTTCTCATCTCTTTTCATTCCCCAGCTTTAAGGTACACAAGAGAGCAAAGTCTCACCAGGCATTTCTCTGAGTGCCCGTCAGGTGCTTTACCCTGTTGGTCACTTGAATATTTGAGTATATTTTTTGTCTTCCATGTGTTCAAAACTCCTAGTGTGGGATGAATGATCTCTTTGATGTTTTACAGTAAGATATGCACTACTGTCTCCATTCTATAGAGCAGAGTTCTATGTGGCTTAGAGAAATGAGAGAAATACTGTGTCTGAGGCAGAGCCAGAATGGAAGCCTGCTTTCCTGTCCCCCAAGTCAGAGCTTCTCCTTCTGCAGGAACAGTGGCTTGTTTTGCATCATTGAACTTAAGTTGAACCTAGAAGAAGCTTCATGTATTCTAAAAACAGCTAGTGTGACTTCAGGGTTTTAAAGTGTAGTAGAACATTTTTTTTTTTTTTTTTGCTAACTCATTCATCAGAGACATTTGCCTGCCTCTGACTTTGAGCCTCTGTTTGCTCTGTAATTCATTGTGATTCTAAAAATTACCCCTGGCTCCCTACAGGCCTCAATTTTAGACTCCTGGTGTCTTGACAATACAAGATTAAAACTAGAGCAGTGGGAATGTTTTTCTAGAAGAAAAAAGAATTTCTGCTGCTCTAGTTTTAATCTTGTGGGTTTTTTTTTTAATATCAGAAATTAGACATAGGGAACTCTTGCTTATCTTTTCTTCCCTACAAAATAATGATGTGGCTAAACCTTTGCTGGGGCTACAATAAGCTGAGGTCATCAAGCCAATTCATCATTGTTATCCAATAACTGTGACCTGTGAGAGAAACAAAGAAGAGATATTTGATCACCACCTGGCTGAAGCCTGAACTGTAGAATTCAGCAGATCTAGATGCAAGACCTAACTGCATGCCCTTTGGTGCTATCATTCTTAGAGCCTCAGTTTCCATCTCCTGGAACATGGGTATGATTGAGAGTCGCATGTGATTTGTGAAGACTTAACAGCGCTTAGAGATTCAGCCCCATGATTGTCTCCCCCCCCCCATCACTTCTGACAGAGACCACAAATGATCTTGGGGACAATTGCTTGTGAGGATGGGGGTGGAGTCAGGAATCTCTCAGTTGGCCTCCTACCCAATCTGCTTCCCTCCAGAAAGCAGAGACTTCACCCCCAAAGGCTTGTGGTTCAGATCATTCTTCAGGGAGGTGCTGCAGAAGTCTAAGGTGGGGAAAGGTGAGAAAGACCCTGGAATAAAATCACCACCATGGTGGGATGCGCTGTGGCCTAGGAGGGTGGCGGGAGCCACCCTTGGTCTTGAACACATTCATGCATAAAGAAATCAGCATCCAGGTGACCCTTGATCCTTGAGGGGGCAGTTCTGCTCCATGTGTTCCCATCAACCGTACCCAAAACACACTCCGGGATAGAAGCTCAGAGGCCTAGGTTGAAAAAGGGCCTTAGAATAGTTTTGGGGGAACATTGTTTCTGTGTTAGGAAGCTGATGGGAGAGGGAGTCCCTGGAGTCCCTTTTCTTGAAGGTGATGGCTAGAAGATCAAGGGTGGGAATGTTTCATTGCTGGGCAGAGGTTGGATATCTTGCAGGTCACAATATGTTGGGCTGATAGCATAATTGGGGAATGATAGGGAATGCAAGTTGCCAGCTACATATAGAAAGTATTAAGCACAATGTCTGACATATATATAATATAATATACTATAATATATAGTATATAATATATAATATATATAATATAATATATAATATAATAACATATTATATATTTATATGCATTATATATAAATATAAATATATATGTAATCAGGAAGTGGTTGCCAGGCACTGGTGGCTCATGCTTGTAATCCTAGGTACTCAGGAGGCTGAGATCTGAGGATCACAAAGCCAGCCCAGCCCCCCCCCCAAATGTGTGTGAGACTCTAGTATCTAGTTTACCAGCAAAAAGCCAAAAGTGAAGGTGTAGCTCAAGTGGTAGAGTGTTAGTCTTGAGCAAGCAAAGAAGCCAAGTGAGAGCAAGAGGTACTGAGTTCAAGCCCAGATATAGGCACACACACACACAAGATAGATAGCTCAGCACATAGCTGCGTTACTAAGAATGATTTTGATGAGGATCCTTTCAGGATGAAGGAATAAAGGAAACCATCCCACCACCATCCATCATCACCTTTGCCAAGTGTCAGGCATCTGCTGGCTGCTGGCCAGGGCAGGTGGGGAATGATGTACAGAAGCAAGCCAGTGGTTGTTCTGTGCTTTAGTCTCTGGTGGTTGTGGTCTGTTTTACTGTCCAGAAGCCTGGCTGAGAGCAGTTAGGCATTGCTCAGCTCTTCCCTGCTGGAAGACCCCAACGAGAAAGTGATAGTCAAAGAGCCCTTTGACGGGCTGGGAAGGTGGCTCAGTGGTAGAGCGCTTGCCTTGCATGCATGAGGCCCTGGGTTCAATTCCTCAACACCACATAAGCAGAAAAAGCCTGAAGTGGTGCTTTGGCTCAAGTGGTAGAGCACTAGCCTTGAGCTGAAGAGCTGAGGGACAGTGCCCAGGCCCAGAGTTCAGGCCCCACAACCAACAAAACAAAACAAAACAAAAACCCAAACAACAACAAAAAAGAGCCCTTTGATGGCTTTCCTGCCTGTCAGCCTAGGATAGAAAGTAGGCTGGAGCCCAGGGAACATCACCCAGTATAACTTGCCTCTGATTTGAAGGACAGCAAACTTGGATCACTGGCCTTGGGTCACAAGGTTAAGGCCAACACAGAAATCCAAGTTCTCCAATCCCAGTTCAGCCCTCTTCCCCATCCCTTTCCATCACTGAAGTGTGGGCACTACTCTGGATAGAGAAATGCTGATGTCACTCTTGTTTTGGATCTAGATTTAAAGGTGAACGGGCTCAGTTTCCTCCTGCCCTAGAGCCAACCCAAGCCCTCTGTTGCAGGGAGCACAGATGACTTTGCAAATCTGAAGAGAAAGCACTGCTATTTAAGGAACCAGGGGAGCCAGGAGCAATTTGACCTTGTGGTACACACTCACAGGTCAAACGCTTTCTCAGCAGGAAGAGCATCAGCCAAACAATGTAAGGAAGTACCCGGTTTATGGGTACTAATTCTGGCCCAGGAAATATCAAGGAAGATTCTGGTCTGAAAACAGCAGCTGGAGAGAACCTCTTGGATCCCTGGTGACATGTGTGCTATATTCGGCCTGCTTCCCAAAGATTCTACCCTTGGCCTACTTCTCAGAGGATGTTTGGCTTAAAAGGATCTCTGATAAACACATGCCCATCCAGAGGGTGGATGAAAAGTATTGCTTCATGCTCTGCCATGCTATGGAAGGAATGAATGGCTGGCAGAGCTTGAAGTCATCTCTGTCTGGAAGTAGGTTAAGTGGGTGGCGTTGGTTTCTTTGAGTTAGTTGGGAACTGTAGACAAATAGGCTTTGCTCTGTAGGGAAGGCCATTTACTTGTTGATTGATTTGGGGCCTAAAAGCCACCTCACAAAGAAAGCACAGGAACTGGGGTGTTGGGAAGTCCAAGGCATCTTGGGTATTCCCTTACTGCAGGTGGGCTGTATCTAGCTTATTCAGTCAGCTTCTTCCAACTTTCCAACTAACCTAGTTAGACACAGCACGCCTTGTTTCCAAAGTTGCCATCTTTACTATACTATAGTACCAGTTACCTGTGTGAATTTGTGAATGTCTGGTCTATGTTTGAAAAGTGCCTTCCTCGTTCAGGGTTGACTGGGCTAGGTGGACATAAACTCTGTCTGTTTTTCTTTTGTGATGCTTGGGCAGCCGTGGTAACCTAGGGGATGAAGGATTTGTTCTGATCATCTCTTTCTCTCTTTGCTAGAATAGTAGCTCAACCCCCTCCCCCTTTTCTCTAGTCAGCAAAGTCAGCACTATTCACCCGCGGTGGAGTATGACTCTAAGAGGACTGTGCTGGCCAGGGACCTTGTTTTAATCCAGAACACAGTGTGATTTCCTAAATTGTACAGGACCACAGCTCAGTACTGCAGCAAACCATTTAAGTTTAAATGGAGGTGGCCACCTACCTGTTCTTTGTAGGAAGCCATTGGCATTATTTAAGTAGGTCTCTCAGATAGAGTCACTTATAGGTCATTCCACAGGCAAGTCTCCAACTATAGCTTTATTCCAGTGCCTCAGTTCTACTCAGGATCTAACCCATAATAAATTCACACAGTGCAACACGAACAATGTCTCCTATTTGCAGCAAGAATGATCAGTTAGATAAGCATAAACCTTTCCTACAATCCAGCCATACCATTCTTAGGCATCTGCCCTGAACATCATGAGCTAGGATGATAAGGACCCCTGCACAGCCATGTTCATTGCTACACTATTCACAATAGCCATGGTATGGAAACAGCCCAGATGCCCCACAATAGATGAATGGAACCAAAAAATGTGGTATATATACAATGGAATTTTACAGTCATTAGAAAGAATAAAATAATGTCATTTGCAGGAAAATGGATAGAACTAGAACAAATCATGTTAAGTGAGGTAAGCTAAGATCAGAGAGACAAATGGCACATGTTCTCTCTGATATGTAGATGTTAGACCTAAAATGCACTGAGATATGACAAATTACACAGGATTCTAGATATCAAATACAGTGAGACCAGAAGAGGATACTCTTAGGAGAGAATCACAAAGGTGTAATGCCTAAGCACCTCTTTGTAGTTATATAAAATAATGCACTTACTAAAATGAGCTCTTCAAAGCCGGGCGCTGGTGGCTCACGCCTGTAATCCTAGCTACTCAGGAGGCTGAGATCTGAGGATCGCGGTTCAAAGCCAGCCCGGGCAGGAGAGACCATGAGACTCCTATCTCCAATAAACCACGGAAGTGGCGCTGTAGCTCAAGTGGTAGAGCGCTCGCCTTGAGCTGAAGAGCTGAGGGACAGCGCCCAGGCCCAGAGTTCAAGCCATACGACCGACCAAAAATAAAAAATAAAAATAAAAAAAATAAATAAAATGAGCTCTTCAGATATGGAAACAAAAGACTTTTTTTTTCTTTTTTAGTTTTTTGAGGATTCTGTCTTCTTTACCTTATATACAGTGTATTTATATGTACATCTTCAGAAAGGGGGGGGGAGGGCACAGAACTGGAAGAAAATGGGTGAAAAATTGCAGCAATGGAGCTCACTGGACACTGATGAAAGTGAACTATCCAACTTGTGGGTGGAGAGGCAAGGGATTGACTGGGAGAGAATGAGGAACAGAAGACATTGTACAAAAGGCAATGTACTCATTACCTGACTCATGTAAATGTAACCTCTCTGTTTATCACCTCTAAAATAACAATAAAGTAAAAATTGAAAGAAGGATCACTGGGTACTGGTGACTCACACCTGCAATCCTAGCTACTCAGTAGGCTGAGATCTGAGGATTGCAGTTCAAAGCTGGCCCAGGCAGGGAAGACTGTGAAACTCTTATCTCCAATTAACTACCAGGAAACCAGAAATGGTGATGTGGCTCAAGTGGTAGAACACTCACCTTGAGCTGAAGAGCTGAGGGACAGTGCTCAGGCCCAGAGTTCAGGCCCCGCGACCGGACCTTCCCCCCACCCCAAAAAAAAAGAAATGGAGAGACTTAGAAAAAGATCATATTAGTGAAATAAGCTAGACCCAAAGACACATAGGTTCCGTGTTTTTCCTCATTTGTAATAATTAGTAATGATGTCTAGTATAGTCCTGGCAGGGGATTACAATAGCTCAATAGTTATATACATATAAAATGATGCTAATCGAAATAAAAAAATAAAGAATATCAGAAAAAAGAGTATCGTTAGGAGTCTCAGAATTTTGATGCAGATTGTGATAGTTGAAGGGAGATATTCTTGTTTATAAAACTCAGGGAAGGGAAAAATGTGACTTAGTCTGGGTTCCTGCTGGGAAATTGATGTATTTTCTCCCTGTCAGTCAGCGAGGTGATCAACATATGAGGAAGAAAGGTTAATTTTGGTTCACAATTTTGGGGAGGTTTCAGCCCATGGCCAGTTGGTCTCATTGCTTTTGGGTCTGTGCTGGAAGCAGGTGGTGGAACAGAATCTCTCACTTCCTAGCTGGAATATGAATGAGAGGAAGAGTTGGAGATCCTACAACCCCTTCCCAGAGGATACCTTGATGACCCCAGACCTCTCACTAGGCTAAACCGGGGGCCAGTCTTCTAATACCAGAGCCCTTGGAGGCCACTGAGGATCCAAATCACAGCATTTTCCTGCTTGATTTAAAAATAATGAAAACAAAAACCAAACCCTTAATGTAATTAACACGGATTTCTTTTTGCTGACTCAATAATTACTCTTCCTTGCTTCCTGACACCTAACGTCTTAAGAAGTTCTGATGAGTAAATATAAATGCACAACTCTGTACTATAATTACATCTATAATTTAAATACCTTTCATCTATCTTTTTAAAGCTAAGACCTTTAAGTAAATGCTTTAATTGCACCTTATAGTCATGCTGTTTCTTTCTCAGAGTCTCCAAATTAGCAATTGTTAAATAGTACAGTGCCAATAGGAGGTTTGATGTTTGCATTTAGCCATCTTGTAATTTCATTAATAAGGTTAGGATTTAGCATTTGATTTTTAATTGTTGGTATATATTAATAGTTTTCCTTTAAAAGCAGATTTCCTGGCTTTAAGTTGCCTCTCTAACTTAACGCACCATTTTATTTTATTTTTCCCCATGCCTTTTCCAAGTCTGATTGTGAGATACTCAAAGACCTGAATCCAAAGTATGAGCTTTCTACTTTATTTTTGAGACAGAGTCTTACTAAGTTGTTCAAATTGGTCTCAAAGTTTCAATTCTCCTGCCTCAGCCTCCTGATGGCTGGGCTTACATGCATGTGTCTCCATGCCTGGCTTGTGAATGAGCATGCTTTGTATCTATCATGGCCCATTCATTTGAGCTGAACTGACATGTTTTCAGTTTCTCCAGTTGAAACTCTTTTTGCAATTGTATAATCTTTTAACTTTGACATTACTTTGTAGTTTTGTGATTATTTCAGAATTTTCATGATAGCAATGCTTGTAAGTTACTAAAAAGAAACTGTAACTATATAAATATACTTAATTTGGCATTTTCCAGTTTTTATTAACCTCTTTTGAATGATATTGCCTAAACTATGTTAACTGCAATTCTGTTATTTTTTTGTTTTAAGTTAAATGGAGGGACTGGGGATGCGGCTCAGTGGTAAGAGCCTGTCTTAGTGTGAAATCTAATCCCCAGAACTTGAAAAAAAATTAAGAAAACTAAAGAAGAGTCAAAACATTCACTAGGTCTGCTTGTACTGTTAGGAGTGGAGACTCTGTGTGCAGATTTTCTGTATCTTATTTTTGGTCTGCATAATCTGTCAGATACTCAAAGATTTAGTAAAACCTCCTATCATGATGATTGAGTGTTCAGTTCCTTCTATTAACAATTCTGTTTTGTGGTTTGTACAATCAAATATTACTGGGGCAATATTATTAAGGCTGTGTAGCTCCAGAATGCTTATAAAATTCAGGGTTACCACTCAGTGTTAACCAGTTAATCCTTAACAATTCAGTTGAATGTAAAGTATATTTCATTTTGTATGGATATATATTATGTATTACAAGCTGGACATTCCTAATTCAAAAATTACAATCCTCTGAAACACCATACTCTTTGAGCATTGATATGCCACAGTGTAAAATTCCACAGCACAAACCCACTTTCCAGCTATGTGCATAGATATGAATTATGAAAGAGTTTCTTGTTTAGATTTGGGCTCCATCTCTAAGATATTCCTTTCTATCAACAAGATACCTTTAGTGTATTTAGTCAGTTTATGTATATTCTTTATTTTATTTTATTTTTTATTTTTTGGGTCCGTTCATGGGTCCTGAACTCTGGGCCTGGGCGCTGTCCCTCAGCTCTTCAGCTCAAGGCTAGCGCTCTACCACTTGAGCCACAGCGCCACTTCCGGCTTTTTTCTTTTTTGCTTATGTGTTAGTGAGGAATCGAACCCAGGGCCTCAGGCATGTAAGGCAAGCGCTCTACCACTGAGCCACCTTCCCAGCCCGTTTATGTATATTCTTATTGCAGATTTCTTTTTCTTTTTTTTTTTTTTTTTGTCGGTCTGGGCCTGGGCGCTGTCCCTCAGCTCTTCAGCTCAAGGCGAGCGCTCTACAACTTGAGCTACAGCGCCACTTCCGGTTTTCTGGTGGTTTATTGGAGATAGGAGTCTCACGGTCTCTCCTGCCCGGGCTGGCTTTGAACCGCGATCCTCAGATCGCAGCCTCCTGAATAGCTAGGATTACAGGCGTGAGCCACCAGCGCCCGGCTCTTATTGCAGATTTCTTATGGGATTTTTATCAACTGTCTTTAAAAATTTTTTTGGTTCTTTTTATTTGCTAGTCTTTAAAATTCTTCTTTTCCTTTCTGCTGACTTAAAAGATACCCAGTTTTGGGGCGGGAATGTAGCTTAGTGGTAGAGCACTTGCCTAGCATGCAAGCATGAAGCTCTGGGTTCAATTCCTCAGTACCACATAAATAGAAAAAGCCAGATTTGGCACTGTGGCTCAAGTGGTAGAGTGCTAGCCTTGAGCAAAAGAAGCTCAGGGACAGTGCCCAAGCCCTGAGTTCTAAGCCCCAGGACTGGCCAAAAAAGGAAAAAAAAAAAAGAAGATATCTATTTTTATTTATGTTGTTCTTTTTGTGTGTGATTATTCTTAAATTTTAACATATATTTTTAAAGTTCAAAGATCAAAGTTGCAAGGTGCTGGTGGCTCAAGCCTAGCAATCCTAGCTAGTCAGAAGGCTGAGATCTAATGATCGCACTATAAAGCCAGCCTGGGCAGTAAAGTCCACAAGAGTCTTATCTCCAGTTAACCACCCCAAAGCCAGAAAGTGAAGCCACTGTGGCTCATATGGTAGAGTGCTATCCTTGAGCACAAAAGCTCAAGAACAGTGGATAGGCCCTGAGTTCAAGTTCCAGGACTGGCATGTGTGTGTGCGTGCACGTGCGCACATACACCCACACCCCCGCCCCCCACCCCCCACCATGGAAATTAGTGATTCTCTTCCTTCTTCTGCACCATCAAGAACTTCTTACCTTTAATCTTTCCCCTTCCATCTTAAACTTAATTTATCTCCGGTGTGAAGCTTGGTTCCTGTATTCGTTTCCCATGTCTCTTGTTAAGCTCTTGTTTTTCCAGCCCACTTCAGCTTTCCTTGGCTTGTGGAAGTGTGACTCCAGCTCTGCCTTCATCCTCATGTGGTCCTCCCCTTGTGTGCATGTCTCTGTGCCCCAGTTTCTTCTTTCAATAAGGAAGCCAGTCACTTTGCATGAGGATCGCCTCATTTTAACTATTACGTCTAGTATGACTTTATGTCCCGATAAGGTTACTTCCTGTTGATCTTTGAGGGTAAGACTTTCACATATGAAAATATGAAAGACACAGTTCACCTCCTAAGAACTCCCTATTTTGACTGTATACACCTAAATCAGTTGCTGTGCTTCAATTTACTTCTTTTTTACCCTTTATTTTGCTCAGCTTTGCTTCTTGTAGCTTACATTGTCATTTTGGCCTCAATTTACTGCTTCCTCAAGGACATCTATCTTGAATTTTCAAAATGTCTTCATTATGTCCTCATTCTTTATGACATTATAGCTGCATCTAGAATCCCAGACTGACACTTTGAAAATATGATTTCTCATAAGTTTCTTTTGTTATTATCGTGAGGTCTGAAATTAGCCTTATGGTTTCATTCTTGATAATCCTCCCTCTGTTTTCTTCCCTTCATTCGTCTTTGCTCATGGCTTTAAATGTGTCTCTATTGTTTGCTATGATTTTAATACTTTGTGTCTAGATTATTTATTTTTTGCTCAAGAGTTTTTCTGGCCTAGAGGCTGTAGAATTATACCTTTTGTCATTTCCAGAAAAAATCTCAGCCTTTACATGCTTGAATGTGTCTATTAACCCCATTTTCTCATTTTTCTCTATGTTACATGTTTCTTTTTCTCTACAAATACTATATATAGTTGTAACTATATATATATAGTTATATATATATATATTACTCTATATGTCTCTCACTATGTAACCTTGAACTTGAGATTCTCTTGCCTTAACTCTCTTAAGTGCTAGAATTATAGGTATGTGTGACCATGTCCAGTTTTAATTTTTATTGAAGCATAAAATGATTTAAGGGCTGGGAAGGTGGCTCAGTGGTAGAGCGCTTGCCTTGCATGCCTGAGGTCCTGGGTTCGATTCCTCAGCACCACATAAGCAAAAAGAAAAAA